ACTAAAATTTATTACTAGTCAATAGAATGTATAGTACGCGTTTTCTCGTGTATTGTTTTACGAAAATATATATTTATTAGAGGGGAAAGGAATTCGGGCAAAAAAAACTCAAGTTAATTTGAGTAAACCATAACTTAAGAAATAAATAAAAGTTTTATTTGTAAAATTCTTATTTGAGGTGATAATACACGTACTTCAAGCATAAGTAAAAGTGATAATGAGCGTGTCAGACGTTTTTCACGTAAGTGATGGTTTTGGTTTCTCTTCTTATGGCATTCGTGGAAAGCCAGGTTCCGACACCCCTGAAAGTCCTGAACCTCCCGTAACACCAAATAAAGAATTTAGATACTCTAATATATCTGATGAAATGGCATCCAAATTAGAAAGAATTGACAAGGCATACAAATCTATCAAGGATTTTGAGAAGAGCAAAGACCTCGAGAATGATGCAGAAAACGTAGGAACTATGATTGCAAGAATGAAATGGTACAAAGTTTATAGATCTAAATATGAGAACATAAAAGTATTTGGACATTTTTGGATGATTCTTAGTGATATAATTAAAATCCAGGCTATGCTAATTAATCAACGACAACCGAAAGAAATCTGCTTTTTTATTGAAGAAGTGTTTTTTGAAGGATATCTTGTGTTAGCATACGAGTGTTGGGGAGAACGAAGGTTTCAAGAATTCAGAACGGCACATTTAAACTTTAACGTTAATGTTTATGATGAAATTGAAAGATCTGATATTTTTACAGACATGTGTAAAGAGATTGCAGCTATTATTAGTTTTATTAATATAATGACATCAATTTATGTAAACGTTAATGGAGTAAATCCAAGAACGATAACTTTTTTTGAACAAATTCCTGAAGGAGCGGATTTGACTAGCATTATGAATCATTGTAGAGAATTAAGCAATAATGAAGATATTTTCGAAACGGAAAACGAAATTAGCAAAATGTCACATTATTTAAAATTTCTAAAAAGAAGGTTAGCAGAAGTAGCAGAAATGAGTAATATAGATGTAGAAAATAAGAGTGAATATTTGAAAGCGTTAGAGAAATCGTATAATTGGAATGCAGCGTATAGTTTTAATAGTACTAACACTAATGATAGCGTTAATATCACTAGTCACACTAATACCATAAATAATTTCGCTAATACTAATATAGATAATGTTAAACACAAGAATTCGGAATTAAAAAAATATTATTACGAAATGCATGATAAAGAAGTATTGATGGAGCTTCTCAACCAATTAAAAGAAGAAATGAAACGAAAGGAATTAAAGACTAGAAGAATTAACGATTTAGAAAAATTGAAGAAATTTAAAGAGAGGAATCTTCTTTGGCGAAGAATAGCGGTAGGAGATAGGAGATAGGGGTTAGCGATAGGAAGTGGTAGAAATATCAATAGGAATAACTGTAGGAATAGTGATAGGGGTAAAGCCTCAATTGGTTCAAATAAAGTTTAGATCGGGATTCACTTCCAAAAAATTCTAAACTTCGAAATTACTACAAAGGATCAAATTGGTGTTACAGAATTTCGAGCCTATCACGAAATAGACTAGACCATGCAATAAATGTAACTACATGTTTCTGTTCATTTATTCAAAAAGAAATGATTAACTAGCTGCGAATTTGATATGGTATGTTACTGAAAGTATTAGCATATTTAAATATTGGTAAGCTTGAGTTTTAGCGAATATAACCTTATCATTTATATATATTTACTGTGTTACTGTATTTTTTATTATCGTTATAAATTACTGAATTATATATAACTTATATCGATATATATATATTTATACGTAACATAGAGCAGGATATATTATATATCTTTAGAAATTGTATATGCAACATACGTGCGTACGCATATATTGGTCTCACAATAGATAATTAATAATAAATGTATATACAGTACTTGTGCTTTATACGTACGTATAGTTGATTTTATACGTAACGCTTTTTTTTATATACGAATATATAGTATTATATAGTAGGAAAAAAAAATGCTTATTGTACGTACGTTAGGGATGTTAAATTGCGAATCCGGTCCGGTCCGGTCCTAGGACCTGAAACAACGGTCCCAGACCTGATACAAAAAA